CAGATCACAGAAGTTCTGGTTTGAGCTCTGCTGGTGTGTGCAAGCAAGCTGCCTGCCTCTGTGCTTGCATGAACTTCACTCCCTGTTGGGCAGGGTAGTACCCTTGGGAAAAGTGCCAGTTCCAGCTTTCTATGGTATCCGTCCACATTCCTTGTATACATCTTGCTTGGTGCCAGGTTGCACTGGTGGCTTGAAAGGCATCTTCCTTGATTCTTCGGTGTGTGCATACATACGTACACAGACACACACACACAGACACACCCCTCTGAGCTACCTGCTCTGGCTCTGGAGTTAAGGGCCTTTGAATACTGTGCCGTATTTGACACGATACTTGTTAATGCTCACGAAGTGCAGAGTCTCTGTGTCACAGGTGGTGGTGCAGGGCACCAGGCCCTCTAGCCCCTCACCCATGAGCCACTTGCTGGTCTCTGCTGCCATTTCACGAGGCACATGCTCCTTGGTCCATTTATCTACCCAGGCCTGAAACCGCTGATGCAGACGTTTGCTTACACGCTCATGGGACTAAAATCAAAAAGAGAAAAGATAGAATAGGCAAACAAATCTTTCAAATACAAATGCCAGTTATTTATTTATTTATTTGAGGCAGAGTCTCACTATGTAGTGCTCCCTGGCCTCAAACTCAAGGTCTGCCTGCCCATGCCTCCTGGGTGTTGGGGATTGAAGAAATAATGCCACCACCCCTGGCTAATTGTATTACTTTATATGTATAGTGGGCAATTCTGCCTGTATGTATGTGCATTGCCATCTATGTGCCTGGTGTTTGAGAAGTCATAAAAGAGCACTGGGTTCCCTGGAACTAGAGTTACAGACAGTTGTGAGCTGCCATGTGGGTGCTGGGAATTGAACCTGGCTCCCATAGATGAACAGCCAGTGTTCTTATCCACTGAGCCATCTTTCCAGACCTGCCTGTAGAATGCTATCTTTAAAACAATTGAAGGTAGGTTGGCAAAATACCTTGGTGGGTAAAGGTACCTGACATTAAGCATAATGGCCTGTATTCCATCCCTGCACCCATACAGAAGAAATAGACTTCTACAGCTCATCCTATGACTTCCACACTCACACTGTGGCACGCATACTCACATAAATATGAACACATAAAATAAATGTAAACAAAGGGGTCCCAGTACATCTGAAACAAAATCTGAAGCGTGACCCATTGAGACTAATGTGCCTTCGCCTCCCCTCACAACAGCACAATGTCTCCTTTATAGCTCCCAACCTGACCCACTGTTTCTATTTTTGCTAGTATGCCAATGCCTTCCCTTCTTCCCAGCCTTGCTTCTTACATTTCTGAGGCAAAGAAAACACTTCTCCCTTAACTCTACAACTTGTTTGTTTAGGTCTCAAGTATCCAGGTCTTGAGAAGTCACAACTGAAATCCCAAGTGGGTTCCTTTGACTTTATTTCCTTCATAATGCACAGAAACACTACTCACTTGCCCTAGTTTGTGGCTGTATCTGCTGTAACACATAATACATAAAAAATGAGACAGCTCTTGAAAACAGGGTCCACACAAACAAAAGACGAAAAACTCTGAAATGTAAACACTGGGAAATGCTTTTTTAAAAAGTAACACCAGGTGTTTAACAAGCTCTTGTAGGTTAAACTATAGGCAAAACTCTGAAGCCTTCACCCCACACAGCCATTCTTCCAAATGACATTTCTTTAGACATCCAAGAGAAATCTATGAATGACCCAGGACACTAACACAGCATAGCACCAACAGCTCTTCTCCCCCAGGGCCTGAAAAGATTCCAACACTTTTGACACCCTTGGGGGTTTTAGGTCTGAGAACCCAAAGATGTTCTAAGTATGTGTGGGAAGCAGGTATTTGGACCATGCCAAGACCTTCTACTGGGAAGTGTTCCTCCACAAACTACAGATTCCCAGCAATTTCTTTTAGTTAAGCTAAAAGTGAAGTCTGTGGTTCTATTACAAGATCCTAAACAAACACACCTGCTTACATAAGGACTGTTCCAGGAACAGGCTTTTATAAAAAGGAAATATATCACACCACTGCAGCAGGACTGGGGGAAATGTAGAGAAATCCCAACCACCAGTTCTCACCTGATGAGCTCTGAGTAAAGCGGTTCTCCGGTACATGTAGTCCTCCGACTTGATCACGTACACCATTTTATAGGAGTTCAGCTTGAACCTACACTCCAGTTTATCCAGGCTCTCTACATTCTCCATGGGCTTCTTGCTGTTTCCTTCTTTCCCTTCTTTCTCCTGTTGCTCTCGACCACGCTGACACTTTCGGATACGCCGCAAATTTCTACAAAGCAGAAAGCCCTTCAGGTTGAGAAACCATCTCTATACAGATCTCCATGACGCCTACCAAATGCTCTTTCCTTATGTGCCTCACGATTACTTACTATAATTTTAGCTACACATCCATAAAAATGTGCAATGGTCTATATTCTATCTCAATTATTTATATTTTATGTGCACTGGTGCTTTGCCTGCACGTATCTGTGTGAGTGTATCAGATCCTGGAGTTACAGACAGTTGTGAGCTGCTATGTGGGTGCTGGGAATTGAACCCAGGTCCTCTGGAAGAGTAGTCAGTGCTCTTAACTGCCGAGCCATCTCTCCAGCCCTCATCTCCATCATTTTAGTGTGTCTTGTGATGAAATGGGAATTACCCATAAAGCCCCTTTGTGTATTGAAGGAAAAAAGTATTCTTGAAAGGTACTTGGGCAATTACCGGACTTACAAACGAAAGACAACAGAATAAAACGTTAGCCTTGGGAACATGCAAGATATTTTCTCAAAAGTGCACATTACATCAAGAAAAACAATATATTTAATTGTCAATGATAAGATTGGAACTTTTGAATAAAACAGAGCTTGGAGTAAAGTGACAATAACTACCATAAGCTCCATGGCTTCCTGGTACCTGAAAGTTGTCTGTGATAAAAGCACTGGCAGAAACAAAGGTGACTTAAGACAAACCACTGTTTTTGCTAATGTCATATAAAGCTCATAGACACTGCATATTACCATTTGCAAAGTCTTTTTTTAAAACTTAATAGTGTATGTGTGTGTACACAAATGCTTGCACACATGTGTAGAGTCAGAGGACGAGGTTTGGGAATCTGCTCTCCTTCCACCATGGATTCTGAGTAGGAATTCAGATCAAGCATACTCAACAAGCATTTTTCTACCATATGGTCCACCCACTGGGAAAATACTTGTCAAAGAACAGGACCCACCACAGTCCAAAAAGCCTGAAAATAGTCTACAGCTCTATATACAAGTGAGGCTATAATTTCTTTATTTATATTTTAAAAAGGATTTGCAAAATATAAAGCATCACTATAAACTTTGTTTTAAATTAGCTTTACAGTAAAATCATTTAGGAAAACATAGTGGGGCTTCATAGCTTGCTTTTATGTTTGTTTAAGACAGTGTCTGGCTTCTAAGAATGATGTCACTTCTGATCTTCCTGTGTAAGTGCTGGAATTCAATTAGGCACCACCATGCATGCTTTATATAGCCTCGGGGCCAAACTCAGAGCTCTATGCCTCTAAGCATTTGCTGGGTTTTTGTTTGTTTTGTTTTTCAAGACAGGGTTTCTCTGTAGTTTTGGAGAATGTCCTGAGACCTCTGTAGACCAAGCTTGCCTCTCTCTCCCGAGAGCTGGGATTAAAGACGTGAGCTACTATCACCACCCAACCCATCTTTCAGTTTTAATCTCTATTCTGGCAAATGCAATTAGCATGATTACAATGAAGTGTTTTGGGAACTCAAGCCCTAAGAATGCACAAAGGCCCCAAAGACAAGGAGTCGGGCTGGCCAGCTGGCTTAGCACTGGTTGAAGGCACATCAGATGGTGTTCAATCCCTGGGACACACATGGTGGAAGTAAAGAACCAACTCACACGAGTTAACTGTCCTTTGGCTTCAACAGGTGCTCTACATACATGCAAAAACCAGAACATACCTACCTCCTCAGCAGACAGAAAAAGCACTGTAAACTAAAATCTGGCTCTTTTAAAAGTTCTACTTTGCTAGGTGTGGTGACACACAGCTTTAATCTCAACGTCTGGAAGGTAGAGACAGGTGGATCTCTGAGTTCGGGACCAGTCTGGTCTACAGAGCGAGTTCCAGGACAACCAGGTCTACATGAGACCCTGTATCAAAATCCCCAAGTTATGCTTATTCTGATTTTCTTTGTAAAAGGGTATTACTGAGACTAAATCCATCAATATTTACTTTGTATTTTAAATTAGAGAAATAAATTTATTCTTTTGTATTTTTGCCTATATTATATACTTAGAAAAACGTTACTAGTACATTATGAAGTTCATAATTAATGGAATACTCTTCACTATAAACTAATATTTATCTAAATCACTTTGTGAGTTTTAAACTTCAAGAGAAAAATGAACAATGACTGTGTTCAATTCAAATATTATTTCAGATGGAAATATAAACCAGTAGATATAGTTAGAAGAAAAAGCTTGAATTAATCTGCTCTTTAGTGAAAAAAGCTAGTAAGTTACATGGAAGATGAAGTTGTTAACTGATTATATTTGCTGTTTGACCACTAATCAGTTTTCTTAATGTCTTTATTATGTAATCCTTTAAAAAAATTTCCTGAGATAAAGTCTCAATATATTGCCAAGGCTCAAACTCAGGGTCTTCCCACCTCTGTTCCTACAGTACTATTTACATATGCCACAAGACCCAGACTCAAGAGGTGAAGTAACCAACTTTAAAATTACTGTCATGGGTCAGTGTGGGGTCTCACACCTTTAATCCCACTACTCCAGAGATAGAGGCAGGCAGATCTCTGTAGGTTCCAGGCCAGCCGGATCTAAACAAGTTCCAGGCCAGCCAAGGCTACATAGTGAGACCCAGTCTCAAAATAAATTAAGTAAAAATAAAATATAAAGGGCTTTTTTCTTTTTTTGGAGTCAGGGATTCACTGTGTAGAGACAGAGTTTCACTGTGTAGATCTGCCTGTCCTGGAACTTGTTCTGCAGACCAGACTAGCCTTGAAATCAGAGATTCACCTGCCTCTGCCTCCCAAGTGTTGGAATTAAAAGCATGAGTCATCATGCCTGGCTCTAAAATAGAGATTTTGCTCTCAGTTTTAAGAGAAAATTTTGCCCCTAGTCCTTTTGTTTTTATTAATGGGTATGATGTCCTTGTCAACTTGACTAATCTGGAATTAACTAAAACTAAAACATGGAAGATACACCTGCAAGAGACTTTTGTTTAAAGTGGAAAGATCTACTTCTAATCCAGGATCTTTGAGGTGGGAAGACACCCCTTTAATCCAGATCTTTTGAACTGGAAGTTCCATCACTGATCTGGGCCACACGTTCTGATGGAGATCTATATAAGGAGATGAAAAGGAAGCTTTTACTCCTTGCCTGCTTTGCTATCAAGTATATTCCTTCACTGGCATTGGAGCCTACTTCTTTGAAATTCTGGCTTATACTGAAGACCAGCTGAGACATTCAGCCTGTGAACCAAACAACTACTGGACTCTTGGACCTTCCATTCACAGCCAGCTACTGTTGTATTAGCTAGACTACAGCCTGATAGCAATTCTAGGGAATCCCCTTTCTAAATACATTCATTCTCTAAGTTCTGTTCCCCTAGAGAATCCTGATTAATACAGAAGGGTTGTATGGTATAGCCCAGGCTAGTCTTGAACTCCCAGCAATCCTTGTGCCAGAACTTTCCAATTCCATGATCACGGGTATAAACCATATAACTGGCTCATCTATCCAATTTCTACTCCTAAAATAGTTTTCAAAATCAAAGGATCAGCATTAAACTTGCCTGTATATGAGGAAAATTTAAAGTTCTAAACAGAAAAGAATTACACAGCAGCTACAAGAGATTTGGAGGCCCTTTCTATCATCCCCAAAACTATAAATGTAGTTCAATGAATCTAAAATGTTTATTCTTCTGTCTGGAATTTTGGTACATGCCATGAAGACAGTCTCTATTTTTTTCCTCCTTCAAGGCGAAGACAGGGTTTCTGTATGTATCCTTGGCTGTCTTGGAATTTGCTCTAGAGACCAGACTCGCCTCGAACCCAGAGATATGCCTGTCTCTGCCTCCTCTGTGCTGGGATCAATGGTGTGCCTACATGTCAACCTCAATAAAAAGCCTGGCATCCAGTCTAATGAGCTTCTTTGGGAGGCAGAGCTCCAAACACAGTGATGGTTTGGAGGAACTATAGGACTTGTCCTATGTGCCTCTGCTGGAGAAGACTCTTAGAAGCTTTTTCCTTTTGCTGATTCTGCTCTGTATTTTCTTGTGACAACTGGAGATCTGAGTATGGCTGCATGCTGAGTCCTGCTAGGAATCACTGATCCATGGACACATAGTCTACCAGATCGAGTGAGGACCACAGTTTCTCTCATGTTCTCACCTCTTCAATGTTGGAGATTTTACAGGTAAGCCAGCAAATGCTCTAATACCATCCTCAGCGGATATAACAGATGAACAATTTAGGAAAACTAGACTCTAAAGCTGCCCTCCATCTGCCCCCCTCCATGCTGTGAACAGTACGTAGCACCAGAGGTGACTCTGCGGACTTGCCTTGGGAGAAATACTGGTTTCTGTGCCAGATGTTCTCGAAGTTCAGGAGATGTAGTATCAGAACTCATGTATCGCTCCACGTAGTCTGACCAACGCTAGAAAGACAAATATAAAAGATCATAAAAACAGCTACATGAATCTAATCCTGCCACAAAATGTCCAAAGACTACAAATTTCACAAACAAAATAGCCTAGTATGATAGTATACAAAAGTAATTCTAGCACCTGGGGGACTAACACAGGAGGGACTGCAAACTTGAGGTCAATGAGGGCCAAAGTGGGGGTCACTCAGATTATAGCTCAGTGGTAAAGAATTTGCTTTTAAACCCCAGAACTGTGAAAATAAAAAGTGACACCACTTTCCCTAAAGAACATGCTTATTACTTAGTATTGAAATAGATACTTAAACGCTATTAGCCAAGATAGTACATTTGAGATAGTTATCAAAAATAAATTTGTAGAAACTGCAAAACAGTGTCATTGATACCTTCCACACTAATAATTGGAATACTAGCACCTCTTGAAAAAAAGTAAAGTTCTGGCAAACATAAGCCAAATGGTCTCTTCTTATTCTCCCAAACATCATCTATGTGGCCTGGCCCCTACTTATATTACCATTGCAGACCAATGATAATATATTCCCTCAGTTAAAAATTCCTGGGCTCACCAGGCAGTAGCGGCGAACACCTTTAATCTCAATACCTAGGGGGCAGAGGAAGGTGGATCTCTGAGTCTGAGGTCAGACTATGCTACAGAGCAAGATCCAGGAAAGCCAGGAGTACACAGAGACGCCCCCCTCTCAAAAATAAGTAAAATAAAATAAAAAGTAAATCCTAAAAATATAATCACAGAAACCCTAAGGAGCTACGGCCCCCAAGAATTGAGAGCAACTAGGCAAGCTCTACATGAGATGTCCCTGTCCATACCTCTGCTTCTACAGGGTCATCTGAATTCTCCTCTTCTGTGTCCAAAAGCTCAATGGTCAGTTGAACCTGGCCTTGACTTTGAATGAACATTAGCTGAAAACAGAAGAAGAATGTAAACAAATAAAATTTCCAAGGCTATAAACCTAGATTGTCATACTGTAGGTGGAAAGGTATTAAAATGATAAAATTTTGTTCCAAAGAAAAAGATGAGGATATTGAAAAGATGCTGATATATCTGCAATACTTTAGGCTCAGGAGAGTAAAGAAGAAGAGTCACAAAGATTTTAAGAACCAGAAGACAAGTGTTTTGAGATAGTGTCTTCTGGACATAACAGGGAAGCCACATCCACGAAATCTCAAAAATAGGGTTACCTACACAAGACCTGTATGACATGAGCTGATATTCCAATGTGGAAGGGAAATTTCACAAAGGCCCATCATTAGATGAAGAGCTACAGGTAGTCACTGGCTGCTGAGAGAGGGAGAACCTATTTTCTCCAGTGACAAGCCCCGACAGATTACCCCAGGTGTCAGTCCTAAATATATGTACATATGAACAACACCAAATGAACTCCGTGGGTTGTATACATACATGACAGTGAACATTAAAGAAGAGGCCATGAATCTGAGAGCAAGTGGGAAGGGGACACAGGAGAAATTGGATGGGGTAAAAGAAAGGTGGACACGATGTAAACATGGTATTCATGCAAGACATTTACAAGCATTAAAAATGAAAAGAAATTAAAAAAAGAATGTTCTGTTGGGCTAGCAGGATAATGGTCCATTGATTTTTACACATAAACATTTTCAAAAAAAATATTTACAAAGCATTGTAATTTTTGAAAAGCTGAGACTAAGGAAGCTTGTTTTTTGTTTTACTTTACTGTTTTGTTTTGTTTTAAATGCAGTAAAAGTAACTGGAACGGTCAGCTCAGTTGGTAAGAAGCTTGGTGCCAAAGAAGCACAGGGATCTGGTTTGATTCCCAATATTTATGCACAACTCTGGCTCATAATCACAGCACTGGAGAGACAGCCAGCCTACCAAAGAATAAATCAGTGAGCGCGAGGCCAATGAGACAGACTATATAAAAAAGGGAGGGGCACAAACCTGTATAGTGTACAGTTCCTGATGTGCACATACACACACACACACA